AGCCACATTTAATGTCTCAATATGCATTCTTGGGAACAGCCCGTAGGGTACAGAGTCCTTTGAGGCGGTGCTGCTCGGGATGAACCTTGACAAAAAAACACTGCATTTCTCTTCAGGGAATTAGATCTGACTGTTTCCAGTGTTAATTCCCTCTAGAGAATGCCAGTACTTTTATGATGGAGACTCCTTTCTGCAAAGTAACAATCTGAGCTTTTGTTCTGACAGTATAAAGGGACTAAAAATAACTTGCAACATGTCACTAGTCTTTTAAAGACGTTGTTCTCTCTCCCACTGCAACCCACTGGTAATCTCCTCTGCCCTGAAACTCTTCGACCATATAATTCAACAAACCCGGTACTACTGCCACATCTCTTTTCTGTCCCACCTATCTGCCCCACCCATCCCACTGACCAATCCCTGCCACTCCCTACCTGCATTCACCTATCACCATCCCACCTACCTTTCCCCAGCCCCACCCCTGCTCTCTCTATTTATTTCCCAGCACTCTTCCCCCTCCTCCATTTCTGAAGAAGGGTCCCGACCTGAAACGTTAGCTTTCCTGCTCCTCTGATGCTGCCTGGCCTGCTGCGTTCCTCCAGCTCCATACTGTGTTATCTCTGACTCTAGCATCTGTCGTTCTTGCTATCTCCGAGTGAAGTACAATCCTAAATATGTTGATCTCCTGGTTGCTTTTAGATCATCCCAAAGTCAATTTCCCCCTGGTTTATTTTAGATTTTAGTTTGCAAGTACTGTGGATTATTCAGGTAAAGCCAGCGCCCAGGATTAAATGGAAACAGATCCTTCGGCCCAAGCTGTCCATGCTGACCATAATCTCAAACTAATCTAGTCCCACCTGCCTGAGCTTGGCCCATATCCCTCCAAACAGTTCCTATTCATAAACTTATCTAAATGTCTTTTAAATGTTGTAACTGTATCTGTGTCCACTACTTCCTCTGGAATTTCATTCCACACACAAACCACGCTCTGTGTAAAACAAAATTGCCCCCATGTCTTCTTTAAATCATGCTCCTTTCCCCTTAAAAATATGCTCCCAGTCTTGAAATCCCTCACACTTCAGAAATTCACCTTATCTATGCCCCTCATTATTTTATAAACCTCTATAATATTCCCCCTCAACCTCCTATGCTCCATTGAAATAAGTCCCAGCATATCCAACCTCTCCTTAGAACTCAAACCCTCCATTCCCGAAAACATCCTGGTAAATTGTAAATGGACCTCACTAATTTCAAATCTAATGTTGATCTTGCTTTTTTTGCACCACCTTTGCAACTGTGTAACCTGTATTCCTCGCCTTGTTGAATCAACATATGATCTTTGTATGGCATGATCTGCCTCTACTGCATGCAAAACAAAACTTTTCACTGCACCTAGGTACATGTGCCAATAATAAATCAAATCAAATAATCCCTTCTGAGACTTTTTTTAAATTTTTAAAACATTTTCAAGTTCGTAGAGAATTCAACTTCTTCAAATCTAGAAGCTAATAACTAGTACCATTGCAGAAGCCAGGCTGCAAAAAAATTACTTCTCTGGGAAAAGAAAAGGTTTTAGAATTTCACTGGTTGGTTATAAGCTATAAATGTCTTTGGGAGTGAATACACCACAACTGTTCAAAGCTGTTCATTCATTTTGCAAATTCTTCCAGAATTGCCCTAGCTTCTACACCAGTCTCATGGGTTAAAAGATGGAAAACCTGAACCCACTGTTCAAAAAAGGAAGGAGAGAGAAAATATAGCCAGTTATCCTTACATCAATAGTAGGGAAAATTCTGAGGCATGATAATCGGGAAGTGGGGAAATCATAATATTAAGCTGAGTCATTGTTGATTTATGAAAGGGAAATGGTGTCTGGCCAGCAGTAAGTTTTATGAGGGCATAACTAATCAGGTGAGTAAAGGGGACCAGGGGAGGTAGTGTATTTTGATTTCCCAAATGGGGAAGGGAACACGGGCTGTGAAAGGATTTGACGGGTGAACGGAGTCTCTAGGCACGTGCCAGATGGAATAGTGGTATGGTGCCTCAAATTCCGGTTAGCTAAAAACTGCCGATGTGTGAATACAGTTGAAGAAAAGAAGTTAAATTGCCATGAGTATTTTTTTAATTCACTAACGGGGCATGGAAATCACTGGCTGGGCCAACATTTATTGCTGATCCCTAGTTCCCGTTTAGAAGGTGGTGTTGAGCTCCCTTCTTAAACCGCCGTAGTTCATGTGCTGTAGGTGGACCCACATTGCCATTAGGGAGGAAATTTTAATTATTATTCAATGAGTAAAATAACACATGGGCATGTCGACAAGTTTTCAGCTTCTGCAGCTTCAGTGTCTACCTGTCTTTTTCTGATCTGAGTGACCTTTGACCTCGCTTAGGCTGACCTACCTGACTCAGCCCAAACTGCCCAATCCCAAGACTGGCAAAATCCATACTGACTTTCTTTGGTGTGTGGAGATTCGGCTTGGGATTCCAACAGGGTGGGGGGTGGGGTTCTCAAGCCATGAAATAGACTAATTTCTCTTTTTCTTTCTTTTTTGATTACATCATTGTGGAAGGACTGTTATTCTGAACGTTTTAATTATTTATTTTCCTGATTTATTACTGTGATTTTATACTTTTGAACGTCTGTAATGTTGGACTTTTTATTTTTCTTTTTTTTGCCTAGGTACCTTTGTACCTAAGATGGCGCCCTAAGTGGTGACTTGTAAACCTTTCACTGTACTCGTGTGAATATGTGACAATAAAACTAATTCTATTCATTTGTAGACCTGGCTGTGAATTGCTGGTTTTGAGACACGTGACTTGTACAATATGGGAAAATATGAAGTTGTCTGCTTTTTGTTAGAATGAATTGAAAAGCAGAATATCTTTTAAAAGGTGAGATATTGGGAAATATTGGCTTTCAGAGGGACCTGGGAGTCCATATAATCACTGAAAGTTAAGACGTGGATACAGCAAATATTTAAGAAAACAAATGCTACATTAATATTTAACTCCTAAGACAATGAAATGTACCAGTCGCAGAATCACAGAATACCTAGAGTGTGGAAGCAGGCTAATCGGCCCATCGAGTCTACACTGACCCTCTGAAGAGCATCCTCCCAGATTCCAACCACGCCCCACCCCGCCCTGCCCCACTCAAATCCCCAATCCCTGTAACCCTGCGTAGCTAACCCACCTAGCCTGCACATCCCTGGACACCACGGGCCAAATATAGCATGGCCAATCCACCTAACCTGAAAAAATCTTTGGACAGCGGGAGGCAACCAGAGCACTCGGGAAACTCACACAGACATGGGGAGAATTTGCAAACTTCACACAAACTCCAATCCCTGAGGGTGGAATTGAACCCGGGTCCCTGGTGTTGTAAGGCAGCAGTGCTAACCATTGTGTCACCCTTGTATAGGAGCTGGGGTGTTGAATATAGGTCTGCTTGCCTTATTCAAGGAAGACTGTTCTTGTTTTAGATTGCGCAGAAAAAATATTTCCAGGATAAGGTGATTGTCTTGGGAGGGATGGAGTAGACAAGACTTAAATTACCTCGAGTTTAGAATCATTATAGGTGATTTCATTAAACGCATACAATTCTTAAGGGATTCGACAGGAGAGATGTTGGGAGCTATTCGGGGAATTTAGAACTAGGGATCCCAGTTTCAAACTGAAGGGTCGACCATATAGGATTGAGATGAGGAAACCTATTTCTCCAATCAAAGATTTGTTGATGTTTGGGATTCTCCACTCCAGAAAACTCTGGAGGCTCAGTCATGTAATCATGACGAGACTGAGACGGAACCTTTGAATGGTTAAGGAATTGGCAGGTATGGGGATAGTGTAGGAAACTGTAGCTGAGGTAGAAAATCAGCTGCGATCTGTTTGAATATTGGGGTAGACTTGAGGGGCTGAATAGCTGACTCCAGCTCCTGTTTGTTATGTTTAGAATTTATGACCTCCGTTGTTTTAAGTAACACGCAATCTGATTTGTGCAGGTTCCAGTTTCACCCTCAAACCAATCTGGTTGGTTCTGTCAGTTTCTATTCCTGGTCTGTAATTGATCTGATTGGATCAGACAGTTCTCATTTCCTGCTTCCTAACGGATTTGGTTTGTACCAACAGTCACTAATTGGGTGATTCTTTTTTTCCTTTCTCAAGTACTGACTTGTAAGTTGAGACTCTGTTTTTTGTACAGAGTGAAGAGAAAGCTGTGTATCTGAGAGCCTGTTGTAAAAAGTCTGTGTCAGGAACTTGCGAGAAGGCTAGCCTCTGATGTGTGCAAGTATTAGGATTAGTTCCTAATCGTTGCTGAGATACAATAACTGGTATAATGGTTCTGGGCCTGAAAACGGATGGTCATTCATTCACATTCCACATGACAAATTGTGAAATGGGGTTTGTGAGCTGGTATGAAGGAGAATGCTGTCTTTAGTAAACTTGTCCACACACCCACCCCCAAACTTTTATTTAAAGCAGCCTGCTTGCCCTATGGATCACTCCAGTCTAGCAGCATTGCAATATTGAAATGGTTAGTTTTCAGGTGGATTTTCCAGCCATATCCCTCAGGCAATTGGAACAATTACTTCCTTACTTGAGGTAACTGTGAGCTTTGATTTCAATTGATCAGACTGTGAAGTGTTCTTGCTATGAGTTTAAGGGAGCTCTTGTGTTGCAGTGATAGTGTTCTTACTTCTGAGACAGAACGCCCAGGTTCAAATCCTATCTATTACAGAGATTGTCATAACACACCTGAATGTCTTCATTAAAAATGCCGATGATGCTTTGTGTGGTTGAATAGCCTGCCAACCCTATTGGGCTGGATTCCAAAACACCATGCATCTGTATCACACAGATAGGAAGATCTCTTCATGACATGAGGGGAGAAAATGGAATGGAAATGCAAAACTCACTTCTTTCCACACTCCACACCCCCAAACCCAAAATGCTGCACTTGAACCTCTGCTGAGTTTTGTTAATCTGCTGATTCTCATTTACAGTGTTTCCCAGATTCCTGCAGTTGAGGGCAAGAGTGTTCAGCAAGCAGTGGAAATGCTCACCAAGAAACTGGAGATATTGGGTGCTGTTAAGCAGGGGACGTTTTGTGTGGACTGTGAAACCTATCATGCAGGACCAACTGTGACCATCCCAGGTAACTGTCACAAACACTGAAGACCCACAAGTCCTTTTCTGCCGTGTAATAATTTGTGATCATTTCTTCACAAGTTGTAAAATGTAAAGGGACACATAGGCACAGCTAGCAGAGCTCTGCAAAACGTTTGAAACCAAGTTGGTATCGTTGGTGCAATACTTTAAATCCTTTCATTCCTTTCATCCCATTCCTTTCAACACCCCCATTCCACCCCTTGTTCCTACACCATTTCTGTTCCCCCAACTACCTTGAAGCCCACCCCTACAGCTCCTGTCTCGTGCTTTGTACTTTGCTCTTAGTTACCCTTCCTTTTGTTGTATTTCTCCATTGACCTTCCTCACCTGCTGCCGCCCCCAGCCTTTGGCAATCGGGCATATGCCATAAGCTCCTGACCTCTGGGGTGCTGGGTGCCTCAATGTTTGCCAGCCTTTGCCCACCAATCAGAACAGTGCAAACTGCATATTGTTGTTACAGATTGTGTAACTTCACAAACCGCTGAATTGGAAAATTAATGCATAAATGAAGCTTAACAAAATGTCCCTGTCTGTTTTTGAAAACCAGAGCAATTTCTCAGAATTGTTTCACAGAACAGTGCAGGCTAGATGTTGTTATAACTCCATTTTTTGGGTGGGGTCAGAATCGGTCCCCTCCTTCTAACCCCTTATTTGGCTGCAACAAAGATTTTTAGTTCTTTTTTAGGTATGGGCTGCATCACATTTCCAATAAAACATGATACTTGCCAAAAGTTTTGGAGCCAATTACAAGTTTTTCTTGAGTAAAAGGCATTTTATAACTTATTTACCTGAAAAAAAAAAGTGACATCAAACACATAAGTAAACATAAGTATAAAGTTTAAAAGGAATAGTGTCTCAAATAAAATAGGCAATTTAAAGTCAGAGCTTTTACAGAACATAAAAAGGCGCTTCAGCCCATTGTATCCACACCAATCATCAAGCATCTATATTCTAATCCTGTTCTGACTTTATGTTCTTTTCCAAGTTGGATAATCTATAAGTGACTTTCATCTTAATATGCGTACCATCCAGAAAGGTGTAAATCAACCAATGGATATAAATTTTAGTCTCTGTGCGTTTTTGTAATGAAGTTAATTTCAGCTCTGACTGATTCCTGTTTATTAATGACTTTGAGCTGGGCTCAACCTGGTCATATGACCACTTAGCCTTTGGAAGTCAATGTTTTAACCTTTGTAAAACGATTTTAGTCCATAAAAGGTCCCAGGTAATGAAAGTGGATAATGGAACTGAAAAATTGATGGTCCATTTTTACCACTATAGCAACAACCTGGTTAGGAGCTGTACCCTAGCTGGATTTCCCTCCTGCCTCACCCCGGCATCATGATCAATATATTCTATTGTGGCCCATCCATTGCTATCAAGGGCAGTTTGAGTCCAGTTTTGCCCAACTGCATTATACAGTGCAGTTTAAAACAACCCATTACACACTCAAGGTTTGGTTTGCTTTGGGACCAATTCAGTCAGTAATGTGAGCAGAAATTGCAGAACTGGACTGCAAAATCTCCCAAAGAATCAGCCTAGAAATACCAAAACTCACCTCAAAGTATTTCAGCAAATCGAGGCCCAAGTAATCAAAATCATTTTAGTTTATTAGTGGCAACACACCTAATTGTTCATTTACAACTTTCTAAGTCAGTGAGAGAGATTGGAATGTTCATGGTGGTTGGTATAGTGTTGGATGTGGCGAATGAGGTTTCAGTTTTCTTCCCCCTCAAGTGACTGGATTTTTAATGTTAACCTTATTACAGATTGTAAAGACCTAAATGTTTGATGAATAATCATTTACTGGCTAAGGGAATGAAGCACATGGTGAGATATAGTCAGGAGTCACACAACGCCAAGTTATAGTCCAACAAGTTTAGTTGAAATCACAAGCTTTCAGAGTGCTGCTCCTTCATCTAGTGACGAAGGAGCAGCACTCGGAAAGCTTGTGATTTCGAATGAACTGTTGGACTATAACCTGGTGCCATGTGACTTCTGACTTTGTCCATCCCAGTCCAACACTGGCACCTCGACATCATGTGACAATAAATGATTCAATTCAATAAAATCATGAGAAGCATGGATATGGTGAATAGCCAAGGTTTTTTTTAAATCAGAGTAGGGGAGTCTAAAAATAGAGAGCCTAGGTTTAATGTGAGAGGGCAAAGGTTTAAAAGGGACCTGAGGGGCAATCTTTTCATGCAGAGGGTGGTATGTTTATGGAATGAGCTGTCAAAGGGGTGTGTGAGGCAGATACAATTGCAAAATTTAAAAGGCATATGGATGGGTACATGAAAAGGAAGGGTTTAGAGGGATATGGGCCAAATGGTGCAAATGGGAGTGGATCAGTTTAGGATGTCTGGTTGGTGTGGACGAGTTGGACCGAGGGTCTGTTGCCGCACTATATATCTCTATGACTCCCAATGAGATACGTTCAGGACATTAGCGCGTATCTTGAATTTCTTTCCTGTCTTGACCAAAGCTCTGAAGTCATCACCACAACAATTCCATACACAGATGCACATGCACAGGTGCAGACACACCCTCCCCCACAGCCTGCATATTGGCCTGTGAGGAAACCCTGGATTAATAAATAATAACTTGCACAAGCAAGACCTGACAATGCTGCAAAAGATTGTGCGCGTGTTGTGAAGGGTAGAGGGGTGACAGTAGCAGAATAATTGTTGCAAACTTGAAAAATCTATGATTGAAAATCTTACATCATTCAGTGGTTCAATTTCTGACATTGTAGTGGACTGAAAATCTTACTATCTTCCTCTAATGGCAGTTTCATCTATGTCATGTTTTAGACCCAGGAAGTATAATTCTACCTACATAAATGAAACAAACTGTCTTTTGTTTTAAGCTAAATGGGTTGCTCTCCATCTGTCTGGCAATAAAAGTAATTAAGAAAGTTGGTAGGATGTTGACCTTTATCTCAAGTGGCTGGGATATAATGATGTTGAAGTTGTATTGCTGTTATCTAAAGCTTCAGTTAGACCCAATTTGAAGTCCGGTTTTGAAGAAGATTAAATTTCAAAATCAGAACTAGGCCATTCAGGAGTGATATTACGAAGCACATCTTCACATGAGTAGTATAAATCTGTAATGGCACATCCCCCTGCAACAAAAAGCACCCCTACCCCCACCAAAAACACTATTGGAGCTTTCGTGCACGATTGATGATTTCACATCTGGGATGAACAGATTATCACTGCTACTCTTTAGAGATACCGCTGAGTATTCCCAGCGCTTTCTATTTTTATTTACGGTACCATGTTCACTTCCGGGCGCCACAACTTCAGGAACAAGATATTGGCCTTGGAAGGGCTGGAGCGAAGAAGAAACTTTTTCTTTCCATTCAGAGGATTGTGAGAGTGCTGAGCAGGCTGATTGAATGGACAGAAGCAAAAAACTGTCAACTAGCCCAAGAGCTGGGATGAAGCGAGATTGCTACTTGACAGCCATGTGGACGCAATAGCTGAATGACCTTTCCATGCTGTGAATTTCTTCTCTGATTCACCAGAACAATACTGGAGCTAAAAGGCTTAAATTAGGAGGACAGATTGTATAGACTAGACTTGTATATTTGAGTGTAGAAGATGAAGGGATGATCTATTTGAAATATTTCTGATTAAAAGAATTGTTAGGACAGACAGAGAAAGAGAAACAAATTTCTCTTGTAATGCGGAACAAGGAAATTGACTTAAAATTAGATCTAAACTAGTCAGGGGTCATGTCGGGAAGCAAATCTTCACACAAGTGTTGGAAATCTGGAATTCTTACCACTCATTCACTCACCAGACCCTGGAACTAAGACAGTTAGGAACAGATCAGCTATGTCCTAATTAATGGGCTGAATGGCCTACTCTTGTCCCTTATGTTCAGTGCATGTGCATCCAGCATGAGTCAGAGGCTAGAGATGGGGAGAGGAAGTTTGGTTTTCTTTTGCTTTCTTGTTCGGAATGTCAGATTATTTAGAAATCTAGCATGAAAGTTCTCAAAGTTAAAATTGGCGTGATCAAAACAGTGCTGAGATAAAATGTCACCAATCTTGGATGTGTAACTTGGCAAACAGCTGAACTGAAGGCAGATAGATTTTCCTCAGAAGAAAGGATTGTGTCTTATTTTGGTTTGTGCATTTCTAACTGCTGTACCTCATTACAGCTGCTTGAAACATTAAGAATTATTATATGTATGATTCCTGCTGGTATTGATGTACTTAAGATTACCTGAATAATATTAAATCAATTCATGTTCACCACGTTGGTGTCCCTAAGATGTTTATGAAAAGTACAGAGGTTCAGTGCTACCTTGGAAGACTGAACTGGTTGAAACTTTGAGTAGTTCTTCGTAATATCATAGAAATGGTTATGTTGCCTTGGGCTTACCTATTCAGGAATGCAGTAGAACTTGGTCTTTAATGCTATTTCTATTGATGTTGGAACATGCATTCTCATTCTTCGAATGCAAGACCTTTGAAATACTTAAGGAATTCACTGACATAATGTCTATGTATGTAATATGTATTATGTATTTTCTTAAAAACTCTGAACGTATTTTGCATGTCTTCCTGCATTACAATTTTGTCGTCTTAAGTGTTTCCAATCCACTGAACTCAACATTCATTTGCTGAAATGAATCTCAACGAGACATCTCTAGAGGATGAGCATCTGCATTTGATTTTGGTGCTCTTGGGCTAGGGAGAAGGAAATCAGCCAGCGCTCTAGTTTTTGCTCATTATCCGTTGACTCTTAATAGCATATTATGCATAGAGACAGGACAGGGTTGTAAAAATTGATATGATGACTTCCATGGCTGAATAGCCTACCAAATCCTCCTTTTTGAGTGTGGCACAGTTATCAAGGTGTAACACCAGCAGGTGATCCAATGCCCGTAGAATTTTAAGCCAGTCTGAACGAGTGAGTGAGTTCCTTCAGAAGAGGAAGCAACTCAATTAATAAGTGATGTAAATCTCCTGCAGAGTGTGGTTAGAACTCTAAATACTCTGTGTGTGTGTGTGTATGTGTTAGAGAGCATGATTTATTGCATCTTTGTTAGACAGCTGCAGCACCCACCCTGAACTCAATGTGACCTCTGTGAGGCTGGATGTATAACGAGGTCTTAAATCTCTATTTTTGCTTTGTGCTCATTAATTCTAATGATATCCATCCTACTTTTCATCAGGGCAGGCTGCAAAGTTCATGTACGTTATGCACAACACAGAATATCCTCTCAGCTGCTTTGCACTTTTTGAAAACGGCCCCTACTTGGTGGCAGACTCAAACTTTGACACGCTGATGATCAAACTGAAGGGGTTTTTCCAGAATGCAAAAAGCAGCAAGATAGAGAGCCGTGGACCTCGCTACCAATATGGCGATTTCCTAGTAAAGGTTGGGACGGTCACCATGGGACCAAGTGTGCGTGGCATATCAGTTGAGGTATGTTCATTGTTTTCCATAATTTCAGCTGCAGATGCTTGTTCTTTACACCCTTGTATTTCCCTGGCATTGTTTTGTGAGTGTTCTTTCATGTTTAATGGGTTGGTTTAGATAAATGTGAGGTGTTGCATTTTGATAAGGCCCACTAGGGCAGGACTTACGCAGTTAATAGTCGGGCCATTGGGAGTGTTGCCGAAAAAGAGACTTAGAAGTTTAGGTACATGGTTCCTTGAAAGTAGAATTACACGTAGACAACGTGGTGAAGAAGACTTTTGGCATGCTTAATTGGTCAGAACATTGAATATAGGAATTGGGACGTCATGTTGCGGCAATACAAGACATTGAGCCCACTTTTAAAATACTGTGTACAATTCTGGTCGCCCTTCTGTAGGAAGGATATTGTTAAACTTGAGAGGGTGCAAAAAAGATTTACAAGAATGTTGCTGGGATTGGAGGGATTTGAGTTATAGGGAGAGGCTGAATAGAGGAGGCAAGGCAATGGCCTAGTGGTATTATGGCTGGACTGTTAATCCAGAGACCCGGATAATGTTCTGGGAACCTGGGTTTGAATCCCGCCATAGTAGACGGTGGAATTTGAATTCAATAAATATCTGGATGTAAGAGTCTAATGATGACCATGAATCCATTGCCGATTGTCTGGTTCATTAATGTCCTTTTGGGAAGGAAACGGCCATCCTTACCTGGTCTGGCCTACATATGACTCCAGACCTACAGCAATGTGGTTGACTGTTACCTGCTCTCTGGACAATTAGGGACGGGCAATAAATACTGGCCTAGCTAGTGAAGTCCTCATCCCGTGAATGAACAAAAAAAAGTGGGATTTCTTTCCCTAGAGCATCAGAGGCTGAGGGGTGACCTTATAGAGTTTTATGAAATCATGAAGGGCATGGATAGGATGAATAGCCAAGGTCTTTTTCCTAGGGTGGGTGGAGCCCAAAACTAGCAGACATAGGTTTAAGGTGAGAGGGCGAAGATTTTAAAAAAGGACCTGAGGGGTAACTTTTTCATGCAGAGAGTGGTGCGTGTATGGAACAAGCTGCCAGAGGAAGTGGTGGAGGCTAGTATACTTACAACATTTAAAAGGCATCTGGATGGGCATATAAATACGACGGGTTTTGAGGGATACGGGCCAAATGCTGGCAATGGGACTAGGTCACATTGGGATGACTGGTCGGCGCGGACTAGTTGGTCTGTTTCTGTGCTGTATGACTCTGACTATAAGATGATGAAAATTATGATTTCAAAACAAATGCTAAGTGATGTATATCCCACCATGGGGTATTTGGTCAAGAGAGAGATTCTAATGAGGGTCTTAAAGGAGAAAACTGAGGTAGTGAGACAGAAAGTTCCATAATAGAACATATTCCAGAGTTTAGGGCCTAGGCATCTGAAGACATGACCATCACTGATTGAGCAATTAAAATTGGGGATTCAGAAGAAGCCAGAGGAACAGAGTGGAGATGGTGGATGATAGTGAGTGGAGAGTTCGGTGAAAAATCAGTTGTTCCTTGTTTGGTAATTACAATGTTTGCAGTTTTTTAAATTGATATCAGAATAGGTGATCTGTAAAAAGAAATTAAGTAGCCCCTGACCCATTAGTTTGATGAAGGAGCTGAACTGATGTCCCTAAAGAATGATAGAGGTTTAGAACTCTCTTCTACGAACGGCAGTTGGTGCTAGTCCAGTTGTTAATTTTAAATCTGAAATAAATGCATTTTTGTTTAGCAATGGTATTAAGGGAGACGGGCCAAATGCAGGTATATGGAGATAGTAGGAACTGCAGATGCTGGAAAATCTGAGATAACAAGGTGTAGAGCTGGATGAACACAGCAGGCCAAGCAGCATCATAGGAGCAGGAAGGCTGACGTTTCGGGCCGAGACCCTTCAA